TTCTCGGGGGGGTTTACGTGGAATTTTCTAAACTTGAACATAAACCTTCCTAACAAACTTTCAGAGAACCTTCCCAACACACCTTCAGATTAAAAACGGTTCATAAAATATTTTTGTTATGTACAATATTTTGAGAATTTCTCCAGCTTGGTTCTCTTCATATGTTTTTAAATTAGAATTAGTAGCCTGATTTGAGATACCATGTAATTACCCGGGAAGGTCCTCTTGAATCTATAATGGACATGGTGAGGTTTTGGCCACGGATTATACATAAAAACAATTGACTCGGAAAAGTGCACCTTTTTCATTGCTTGACACGGGACCTAATATTGTCAGCCACCACAAATTCTGCGACAATGTAGTGCTCTAATAATCATCATACTCAAGCAAGCTGCTCATGAATTGGAGCTACAAATGGCTCACAGACTTTTTCACAAAGAGAATAAATCAAGAGACTGACTCATAGAATGGCTCACAGACTGATGTACAATTTCATCAAAGACTTGCTCACAAAACAGCTCACACAGACTCGCAGATTGAGTCAAAGACTGACTTACAGACACAACTATAATGACGCCTGATTCTTTTCTATTAAAAGTCTGTATTGTGTTTAATATCATCACATTATACAATTTCTTCTTTTAAAAAAATAATCATAGCTGTAAACACATATTTTCGTGGAATTTCGACACAGAGACAATAATTGTATTTAACAGTGTAAAATCGAGAATTAAAAATTAGACATGACCCCTTGTCACGGTTCCCAGTTGTACCGTATTATGAACAGTCTCTCTGGCGCGTCTGTAGCGCGGTCACCCCTCGCCACCCGTGCAATTTTGACCTCGTTCGAGTCCTGGGTAGGGATAGTCGACTGAGCACCAATCCTTAATTATTCGCCCTTGTTCACCCAACAGTAACCCGGTTGTAAACAAACTGTCAGTTCGCGTTCGAGGGAAAACCATCAAGAAAAGTGCAAGATAGCACGGTCGTGGGGGCAACATAGCACGGAGGTAGGGAACCACTTGTGATAAAAATAGTCACTCTGAAGGAGGCTGATTGTCGGGGCCTGAGTCTGGGGTCTCCAGGGGCCCCGCCCTCAGCCCTCGTGTTCAGGGTGTTCCCTTCCTCGTTTACCAGATCGTTTAGGAGCTACATCTGCACTTTTTCCCCCCCTCCCTCTCACGTGGCTTCTGTTAACCGGTCCTGGCGCTGCTAGGACGGGTGCACTTAGCCCCCTGCAAGTGGATATTACCGTCTGACGTACGGGCGCCTGGCACACCATTATCCCCGGGCAATGCGCATGCTCTCTCCTGATAAAGAGGCGCGTCAAATTAATTTCTATATTTTCAGCCCCTCTTAAGCGGGTCCAATATGAACCCATCTCACATAAATCCGTCGCGTTATGGGGCTCCTGTCTGATTATTCGAGAGATTAACTTGTTATCTCATTAATTTAGTATTCAATAATCAAACAGTGAGGCTCGTCTTCCCTGTCATAGGGATCCATTCCCCTCCTAAAGTACTCATTTGCATACGCAAGAATTGTTTCATCTTTTCCAGATAATCCCTTAAACGCTGAATGTGTAGAATAATTAGCATTAATAACATAGACATTTCTAAATCAAATACTAGGATGAAATGCTTCATGACACGAAGTATGATATGTGTAAGGTGGGGGGAGGGGGGGCTGACCAACTCCTGAGTACCTTCTCACTGCTAGGTGAACATGGCATTAGGTGAAAGGAAATGAGCCCAACCATTTCTGTGTAAGAGGGAAAAATATGGCATGCGGTAATGAAGGAGCTTCAACGTTCGCTAAAATTTATTAAATATGCAAATCGACCTCTTTGACAATGAAAATAATTAGACAAACGCCGAAGAGACTTGGGGACATGTCCCCAAGTCTCCCATGTGCCCCATATCACATGTGTGACATGAGACATGTGTGACATGAGACATGTGTGACATGGGTCACATGTAACATGTGTCACATGTATGACATGCCCTACAGCTTCTGCATGTCAACTTCCACCTGAAACAGAACAATTGCGAGCGTCGATGTTTGCATTAGCTATGACGAATTCTGTTTAAACTAACCGCATTTTATGGCTATGGAAAAAAAACTTGAGTTCAAGACTCACGAATGATCAAAACTTAATTTCACGGCATCTGAGTTTCCGTGTTCATTCAAGAACTCGGATATGAGATTTCCCATCAAAAGTTCAACCGGGAAATATGTTCACATGTGTTGTTCATTTGTTATTCTTTATCTTATTTTCGCCTTTACTTCCTTCCGTTATATGTCATTTTTGTCGTTTGTTCTTTTCCACTTATCTGTAATTTATACTTAATTTGTAATTTGTAATTCCCATTTATTTGTCTTTGTATTCCACTTCCTTCCTTCATGTGTCCTTCACTATTTGATAACTAAATTATTATTATCCTTATTATTATTATTATTATTATTATTATTATTATTATTATTATTTTTATTATTAATAGTAGTAGTTGTACCTTAATTATTATAATTATTAATAATATGATTATTGCAATTTTTAATTATTTTGGCCTCAGTTGTGTTGCTTTAGTTGTTCAAAGCAAGAAGATGCCACCAGCGATCTGTTAAGTAAATTTTCTTGAAACCTGATCGAAAGTTCAAAAATTGAAGTCAGTGTCTCAATGTAACTGGTTTTGAATTATAAGACTTTCAATATGTTGATGTTGGTCAGTTAAACTGTGATAAGTTGGGTGACGTGATCATGGTAACTGGCAGTCACTGAGTTGTTACACAAAGGTTCTGGGTTGTCGTTGGTGAACTGAGTTTATACAACTGGTGCTAGAACTCAACTCATTCCCGTAGAAGTAGTTACGTACCTTCTTCAGGAATACGAATTGCATCATTTTGTTCGAAAAGGAATTATAAAATAGGTTTCTGCATTTCAAGGTCAAGTTCAAATAAGTTTACTGAAATGATGAAATACATCTCTAAATGATAGAGTAACTTAGACTATATCTGCCTTTCTTAGCTTCTATTTGTGTCTAGTTGCTTTAAGTGATTGCAGATTCTGTACTTTAGTCCTTTGTAGCATACTGTGTCAAAAGCTGTTGCAACGTATTTTACAATGTGTACAGTCTTCAGGTGCAGAGGTTTATTGATGAAGATGCGGCCCATCTTGTGTGGAGCCGTGTGGTCTGAATCCTAATTGTCAGTCTACAGGCTTGTCTGTTCAAGGTGTCGTCGTCCGAGACTAAGATTAAGTGATATAATACTTTACGAATGTCTCTAAGTAGACTAACTGATCTGCAGCTCTGTGGGTCTCTGTGTGTGCTTTGTTGCGTTTTGGGATGAGTATTGATGTTGCTGGTTTGAAGGGAAGCGGGGAAGTATCCCAGAGGAAGACAGTTATTGAAGGAGGCAGTGATAAGTGAGTTTGGAGATTGTCTAATAAGGGTTTGGTAAATGACTGAGGCTCCAGAGTGCCCTCAGGGCCTGCCCTTCAACATGGCTCTGACTACCTCGTCAGATAAGGGGGCTCTGAGTTCAATGATGTCGGTGAAGTTAGGTTGGAGTTAAGTTTGCGTTATTTGTTGAGAGTTTTAAAGAAAACTTGTTTCCACCGAGAGGGTAAAGTATTTGTAAAAATAGGAGAAGGAGTTTGTAAGGAGGGAAGGAGGTAAAGTGTTTGTAAATAGGAAGAGTCAGAGTTGCCTCTGACTCTTTTGATGAAATTACTGGACTACCTTTTTTATGTTGTTTTGTCTTTTGTATTAAAACCAGCCAGTGGTGAGTGTGATGTATCCCTGGAAACACAAACCGAAACTGTCTCTATTTTCCGCTTGTTACAACTTGTAATAAAGTTGTTACATCTTGGCTTAACGTGTTTATGACGTATTAGAACGTTGTTACAACTTGCTATATTGGTTGTTATAACTGGTTAGGAGGTGTTAAATCTTGTTCGAACGTTGTACCAACGTCGTAGTTTCGGTGTGTGTTTGGCGGGATGTGTCTAGATTGTTTATAATATTCTTTTTGAGTGTAGTGTGGTCGCCTAGCAGCTGATCCCGTGTGTGTGTGTGTGTGTTTGAAACGACTGTGATAGCAGGCTAGGAGCGGTGTTGTTCTGATTGAGGGTGTGAATGAGCAGCGTTTCCCGTATTATTTTACAAATAACTGCTACTGTTCATACTATGTTCTGTGTTGTTAGGACCTGTGCCACTGGGTAGTGTTCCATGGTAGGCATGTGTTAGGTTGGTGTTACCTATATGTTGCTGGATTGTGGCGCACTTTGTTTTTCATTGAAGTTAGAGTGTGGAGAGGTTTGGGTGAATATGGGAGTGCAAGAGATGTAGAGTGACATTGGGATGTAGCTTGTAAGGGGTTATGATGTTGTGTGATGTAGCTGCATTAATGCTACATTAGCATCCGGGATGATGCTAATGATGTTAATGTTAATGCTACATCAGCTGAGCGGACAGTTACACTGGACGCGTGATCCTGTGGTCCCGGGTTCGATCCCGCGCGCCGGCGAGAAATAATGGGCAGAGATTCTTTCACCCTGATGTCCCTGTTACCTAGCAGTAAATAGGTACCTGGGTGTTAGTCAGCTGTGACGGGCTGTTTCCTGGGGGTGGAGGCCTGATCGAGGACAGGGCCGCGGGGACACTAAAGCCCCGAAATCTTCTCAAGATAACTTCAAGATGCTTTTGGAATATTAAATCAGGTCTCCCTTGTCATGAGTGGATATATGTTGTGGGTGTTTGTGGTAGGGAGGTTCCAGATGCCCAGATATTTGAAAATAAATGTAATGAAGAATTTGTAAAATTGCTTAAAACCTTGATATGCTGCCAATTATATAAGGCAAAAATTTGGATCCATTTCCAATCAATAATTTTCTTTTCCTTTCAGTTTAATATTTTCGGTCCACGTAATCAATAATTTTGTTAATATATATTGTGTTATGCAAGGTTTAACATTATTATATATTAATACGGAATACAGTCCTATGTTAGGTATCTTATATCTTTCTCACTACTCTCCTTTCTCTCACCACTCTCCTTTCTCTCACCACTCTCCTTTCTCTCACCACTCTCCTTTCTCTCACCACTCTCCTTTCTCTCACCACTCTCCTTTCTCTCACCACTCTCCTTTCTCTCACCACTCTCCTTTCTCTCCCCACTCTCCTTTCTCTCACCACTCTCCTTTCTCTCACCACTCTCCTTTCTCTCACCACTCTCCTTTCTCTCACCACTCTCCTTTCTCTCCCCACTCTCCTTTCTCTCACCACTCTCCTTTCTCTCACCACTCTCCTTTCTCTCACCACTCTCCTTTCTCTCACCACTCTCCTTTCTCTCACCACTCTCCTTTCTCTCACCACTCTCCTTTCTCTCACCACTCTCCTTTCTCTCACCACTCTCCTCTCTCTCACCACTCTCCTTTCTCTCACCACTCTCCTTTCTCTCACCACTCTCCTTTCTCTCACCACTCTCCTTTCTCTCACCACTTTCCTTTCTCTCACCACTCTCCTTTCTCTCACCACTCTCCTTACTCTCACCACTCTCCTTTCTCTCACCACTCTCCTTTCTCTCACCACTCTCCTTTCTCTCACCACTCTCCTTTCTCTCACCACTCTCCTTTCTCTCACCACTCTCCTTTCTCTCCCCACTCTCCTTTCTCTCACCACTCTCCTTTCTCTCACCACTCTCCTTTCTCTCACCACTCTCCTTTCTCTCACCACTCTCCTTTCTCTCACCACTTTCCTTTCTCTCACCACTCTCCTTTCTCTCACCACTCTCCTTACTCTCACCACTCTCCTTTCTCTCACCACTCTCCTTTCTCTCACCACTCTCCTTTCTCTCACCACTCTCCTTTCTCTCACCACTCTCCTTTCTCTCACCACTCTCCTTTCTCTCCCCACTCTCCTTTCTCTCACCACTCTCCTTTCTCTCACCACTCTCCTTTCTCTCACCACTCTCCTTTCTCTCACCACTCTTCTTTCTCTCATTACTCTCCTATCTCTTATTGTTATTCTTTCTCTTACCGCTCTCTTTTTCAAAACATATATATCAGTATTGATCACCAGTTTTCTAGAGAGAAAAAGAGGGAAGGAGGCGGAGGGGTAGGGGGGTTATCTTGAGATTACCTTGAAATCATTTCGGGGCTTAGCGTCCCCGCGGCCTGGTCGTCGACCAGGCCTCCTGGTTCCTGAATTGGTCAACCAGGCTGTTGGACGCGGCTGCTCGAGCCTGACGTATGAGTCACAGCCTGTTTGATCAGGTATCCTTTAGAGGTGCTTGTCAAGTTCTCTCTCTTGAACACTGTGAGGGGTCGGCCAGATAAGCGTGTTGAACAGTCTCGGGCCTCTGATGTTGATAGAGTTCTCTCTCAGAGTACCTGTTGCATCTCTGCTCTTCAACGGGGGTATTCTGCACTTCCTGCCATGCCTCCTGGTCTCATGTGGTGTTATTCCTGTGTGCAGGTTTGGGACCAGCCCCTCTACTATTTTCCACGAGTAAATTATTATGTATCTCTCCCGCCTGGTTTTAGAGAGTTTAAGTGAGGGTTCTGGGGTCAAGAAGTGACTGACTTCCATTTAACTGCTGTATGTCCTGTGTTACATTTCTGGCCGGAATGGAAATAAACTGAGATCATTTCCTTTCACCTCATGCCCCTGCCCACCGAGCAGTGAAAAGGTACCTGGGAGGTACCTGAGTATCACTCAGTTTAAATAATGATTATTTCATAACCTAAATTTATATTCTTTATTTTAAAGATTATTTATTTGCTTAACGGCGCGAATTACCTCACTGATTGTTGACTTGGAATGTATTAATATCACTAAACATTATATCTAAATAAATTTATTACAGTAATTGAACCAAATTATTTTTTCATCTAATGTAAGTGTTTCCATGATTTAATTTGTAATTAATGAACAAAAATATGATTGAAATGGCGTAATATATAGGTAAATGCAAGCATATATATATATATATATATATATATATATATATATATATATATATATATATATATATATATATATATATATATATATATATATATATATATATATATATATATATATATATATATATATATATATATATATATATATATATATATATATATATATGACAATGTCAGACCACGGAGGAAAAATGAAACAGGAAATTTCCTTAAGTACTTTCGTATATTAAATACATCTTCAGAAGGTGTATTCATCTTCGTATATTAAATACATCTTCAGACCTTCTGAAGATGTATTTAATATACGAAAGTACTTAAGGAAATTTCCTGTTTCATTTTTCCTCCGTGGTCTGACATTGTCACATTCTTAATCACGTGTTTATTTTCGTGATATACACACACATATATATATATATATATAACTGAAAACTCACCTCGGAAGTGACTCGACCATCACGACCGAGTCCGGTCGTGATGGTCGAGTCGAGTGGAGTCGAGTGGATTAGGTGCCCTGAACACCAGTTGCAATGTGCTCCTGGCAGTATGAGTTAGAGTCACTTCTGGGGTGTGAGTTTTCATTTGCATGTATGCCGACTCCGGTCGGCCGAGCGGACAGCACGCTCGACTTGTGATCCTGTGGTCCTGGGTTCGATCCCAGGCGAGAAACAATGGGCAAAGTTTCTTTCACCCTATGCCCCTGTTACCCAGCAGTAAAATAGGTACCTGGGTGTTAGTCAGCTGTCACCGGCTGCTTCCTGGGGGTGGAGGCCTAGTCGAGGACCGGGCCGCGGGGACACTAAAGCCCCGAAATCATCTCAAGATAACCTCAAGAATGCCTGGGGGACCATTCAGGCTTGTTCGCATATATATATATATATATATATATATATATATATATATATATATATATATATATATATATATATATATATATATATATATATATATATTCCTGGTGTATTAAGGCCATATAATCCAAAATATGGGTAAGAAAAGGCAGGAGAAACGTCTGCTCATATTCTTAGATTGTAACCTGTAAACACACACACACACACACACACACACACACACACACACACACACACACACACACACACACACACACACACACACACACATATACACATATACACACACCCAGACACACACATACACACACCCACCCACCAACACACCCACACACATATACACATATGCACATATACACATATACATACACCCAGACACACACATACATATACACACACCCAGACACACACACACATGCACACACACACACCCACACACATATACACTTATACACACACCCAGACACACACACACACACACATATACACCCACACACACACCCACACACACCCACACACACCCACACACACACCCACACACATATACATATATACACACACCCAGTCACACACACACCCACACACACACATATACAAACACATACACACACACACGCACACATATACACACACCCACGCACACATATACACACACACCCAGACACACACACACACACACACATATACACACACCCACACACACACATATACACACACATACACACACACGCGCACACATATACACACACCCACACACACATATACACACACCCACACACACATATACACACACCCACACACACATATACACACACCCACACACACATATACACACACCCACACACACATATACACACACCCACACACACATATACACACACCCACACACACATATACACACACCCCCACACACATATACACACACCCACACACACATATACACACACCCACACACACATATACACATACCCACACACACATATACACACACCCACACACACACACACAACTGTGATGAATGAAAGGCAACAGGGAAGACTGAAAGAAAAAACTCGCACACATTTTTCATTAATAAGAGAAGAAATGAATTATTTGTACATGTCGCTCCTTGATGGAACCAATCCTCTTAATTACAGGGTTAGTTCTGCTCTCTCTCTCTCTCTCTCTCTCTCTCTCTCTCTCTCTCTCTCTCTCTCTCTCTCTCTCTCTCTCTCTCTCTCTCTCTCTCTCTCTCTCTCTCTCTCTCTCTCTCTCTCTCTCTCTCTCTCTCTCTCTCTCTCTCTCTCTCTCTCTCTCTCTCTCTCTCTCTCTCTCTCTCTCTCTCTCTCTCTCTCTCTCTCTCTCTCTCTCTCTCTCTCTCCTGCCTCCTTCTCCTCCTCCTTCAAGACTTCTCTTCCGTTTCGTTTCACTCCGACTGTGAAGACTTGAAACTCATCTGCTCTCCTTTGCATATTTAATCAGCAAATTAATGGTTAGTTGATTAGAAATTGTCGTGAGCATAGCTGATTATTTCAAGGGGAAGGGGGATGCTTGATGGAAAGGGAGGAGGAAGGATATATATATATATATATATATATATATATATATATATATATATATATATATATATATATATATATATATATATATATATATATACTCCCATTTTCTGAGAAGGTTGCACATCTCTTCCATATGGGAAAGAGAAGGCCTGAAAACGGTATAGAAGGCTGATAAGCTTTAAACAAAAAATACCTTTCAAAAGTCATACACTTAAAAATAAAAAATCTACAGAGATAGGGAAGGCAATTTAGGCTAGTGTTATTGTGGGATGGAGCGAGAGGTGGAGGAGAAGGCTAGATAACACTGCTAATTAATGGTGCATCCCCTACCCCCCCCCCCCCACGCCCTCCTTACCTCACAACCCCTCCCTCCCTTCCCTCCCTCCCTTCCCTCCCTCCCTTCCCTCACACCCCCCAGTTCCCCCTCCCAGAGGCTCCAGTGGGAGGGTTATCAGGTAATAACACAGTGTTCTGATGGGGCTCGCCCCCTTCCCACGCCCCCCTCTCTGCAAGGCATTGTACCGCCAATTGACTAATTAGTTTAACAAAATTAAAGGCCTCAGGTGGACGGACATTCTATTGTTAATTGCAATAAGTGAGGTAAGTATACGATATAGTAAATAGGCAATTAAGCAGTAAAATTATATTGGCGTAAAATAAATTAATTGGCTAATAACAAATCGTTTAATTTAGTTATTCTGCTAATAACATAACAAATTAACTATCTAGTAAGTTAATTAGCAATACATGTACTAAACGAATTATATGCATTTTAATGTGACAATTTGACACTCTACACTCTCTCCACCAGTCATTTCTTTGGGCAAATTTGCAAATGAAAGTCAGTCCACATATAAACGGAACTCTTAGCCTTGATGAATGTTGCAAGGGGGTTGCAGGAAGTTATAATGTTATAGTGACCTTTAGTGTTCATACACACACACTATCTATCTATCTATCTATCTATCTATCTATCTATCTATCTCTCTCTCTATCTATCTATCTATCTATCTATCTATCTATCTATCTATCTATCTGTCTATCTATATTTATTGTACCTAGTAGCCAGAACGTCGTACTTGGCCTACTATGCAAAACTCGATTTGCCTAATAAGCCAAGTTTTCCCGAATTTATATATTTTCTAATTTGTTTTCTTATGAAATGATAAATCTGTCCATTTCATTATGTATAAGTTAATTTGTTTAAATTTGAGTTAAAACTAACGTAGATATATGACCGAACCTAACCAACCCTACCTAACCTAACCTAACCTATCTAAACCTAACCTAAACTAACACAACTATGTCAATAACTTATGTTCCTAATATAATATAATAATAATAGTTCATATAAACTAATTGGAAACAATTTATTGTAAAAACAGAAAATCTCTCAGCCTATTAGGCAAATCGGGCCTTGCATAGCAGGCCGAGAAGTGTGTTCTGGCTACTAGGTACGACATAAATATATATATATATATATATATATATATATATATATATATATATATATATATATATATATATATATATATATATATATATATAATGTGTGTGTGTGTGTGTTTCACCTAGTTGTTTTCACCTAGTTGTGTTTGCGGGGGTTGAGCTTTGCTCTTTCGGCCCGCCTCTCAACTGTCAAACAACTGTTTACTGACTACTACTTTTTTTTTTTTTTCCACACCACACACACAAACACACCCCAGGAAGCAGCCCGTAACAGCTGACTAACTCCCAGGTACCTGTTTACTGCTAGGTAACAGGGGCATTCAGGGTGAAAGAAACTTTGCCCATTTGTTTCTGCCTCGTGCGGGAATCGAACCCGCGCCACAGAATTACGAGTCCTGCGCGCTATCCACCAGGCTACGAGGCCCACAGGTGTGTGTGTGTGTTTGTCTTTGTGACAAGGACACACCTCTCGTCTTCACGACTCAACACCACTGCTCATTACCTTTTAATTAGAGGTCAATTATCTTTTTGCAAATTAGGCTCCTTGTGCAGCTTTGGTTTTTGTTGGCTTGATTAGGTGTTGGGTTTAAGGGCTGTTAACCGCGGGAGGGGTTGTTAACCTCACCACTGTACTCTCCGTGTGATTACATAGACAAATTTGCTCAACATATCTCTTTTTTTTATCTTTGAGGAGAAATATCTAAGCTTCATTAATTGAGAGCTCCACCTCACATACACATGGCTTTAAGATCAACTCATATATATATATATATATATATATATATATATATATATATATATATATATATATATATATATATATATATATATATATATTCCATTATGTTCTCAATTATTTTCTATTTTCTGGTATTTTTTAAATTATTATTTTATCATATATATTGAAAGATTAACAGCCTTGTGACATCTAGACTTAAAATACTTTTGGGCAATTATTTTTATATAAAAGAGCTTTCATATTGTTTACAAGCCATCAGTAGCTAAAATGTTCTTAATTTAACTGTAAAAAAGCTTCCCATTGTCGAAATTTCATTATACAAAAGCCTATGTTCTTCAAATTTTAAGATGTAAATACATTTTGTCCAAAACTTGAATACAGGATAAATATCTAAAAACTTTAATAGAGTATAAATACCTAAAATTTTTATCAAACGAATAATCTTGTCTGAAATTTGAGTTCAGGATCTTATACCCTAAATTTCAGTATGAAGGATCCCCATATATACCTTTATTAATTAAAATGATCCTACAACCTTTTTTTTATAACGATGAATCATATCCACCGTATCTATTATCAGAAAGCAAAATCCAATTTTGCTTTCATTCAATTACACAATTTTAATTTTGCAATTAAACCCAATTTTAATCATTTATTGGTGAATATCTAAAGTCCTGATCTAAGGTCCTAACCGGAAGTAATCCCAATTATAAAATTATTTAGTATACAACGTCTTCAGTAACGATGTACAACACGTCCTCATCTTCCGTAACGATGTACAACACGTCCTCATCTTCAGTAACGATGTACAACACGTCCTCATCTTCAGTAACGATGTACAACACGTCCTCATCTTCAGTAACGATGTACAACACGTCCTCATCTTCAGTAACGATGTACAACACGTCCTCATCTTCAGTAACGATGTACAACACGTCCTCATCTTCAGTAACGATGTACAACACGTCCTCATCTTCAGTAACGATGTACAACACGTCCTCATCTTCAGTAACGATGTACAACACGTCCTCATCTTCAGTAACGATGTACAACACGTCCTCATCTTCCGTAACGATGTACAACACGTCCTCATCTTCAGTAACGATGTACAACACGTCCTCATCTTCAGTAACGATGTACAACACGTCCTCATCTTCAGTAACGATGTACAACACGTCCTCATCTTCCGTAACGATGTACAACACGTCCTCATCTTCAGTAACGATGTACAACACGTCCTCATCTTCAGTAACGATGTACAACACGTCCTCATCTTCCGTAACGATGTACAACACGTCCTCATCTTCAGTAACGATGTACAACACGTCCTCATCTTCCGTAACGATGTACAACACGTCCTCATCTTCCGTAACGATGTACAACACGTCCTCATCTTCCGTAACGATGTACAACACGTCCTCATCTTCCGTAACGATGTACAACACGTCCTCATCTTCAGTAACGATATACAACACGTCCTCATCTTCAGTAACGATGTACAACACGTCCTCATCTTCAGTAACGATGTACAACACGTCCTCATCTTCAGTAACGATGTACAACACGTCGCCATCTACATTTAAAAGAGAAAGTTTCCCTGTCCAAGGCTGGAGACCAGACGCTTGGAGCTAGTCTCACACAACCTTGCTTGGTAGATAGTGATTTGATTGAGTCTCGTAGTGTGGTTGGGGTCGGCCCTTGTGCCTTTGAAGGAGGGATTCGGCCTCTACACCTGCTTCACAAAGTGGCTGCATGTGCAATGTGTATCAGATTTATGTCGAGTTTAGCATTCGTTGATGTATTATTGTATTCAGATATTGGCATGCAAAACGGATGTTCGGATGACTGATTTGCGTTCTAGACACAAAATTATTTGTATTACAATGATGTATATTGTGTGAATTTAAAATGGTTACAGTGATAGGGGATATATGGAGAAAGGATATGGGGAGTTTGGTATATGTTTTGGAGGAGATAGGGAGGGTAATGTGTGTGTTGAGGGGGGGGGGGAACCTGTAAGGGTATGTGGAAGAGGCCTGGGCACAGGGCCGACCCGGGCACCGCCAAGTACATCATCTACTTTTGTATCTACTGAAAGAATTACTGTCTATTTTTCTATCTATTCGAGGTTCACGAAGTCTGTCGAAATGAAATGTTCAGCCTCGAGTCCATAGACTTTATTAGTCGATTAAATAATAGTGAATTTAGAAATTTATTTTCAAAACATGTCTTAAGGTGACGGATTTGCATTCTGGGTACAATCTTTTAGTTACATTGATGGAGAAAGGGAGTGTGTGGGCAGGGAGAAAGGAAGCAGTGAAAGGGCATGCCATGGGCTGGGAGGGAGGAGATGAGGGAAGGGCATGCCATGAGCTGGGAGGGAAGAGATGAGGGAAGGGCATGCCATGGGCTGGGAGGGAAGAGATGAGGGAAGGGCATGCCATGAGCTGGGAGGGAGGAGATGAGGGAAGGGCATGCCATGAGCTGGGAGGGAAGAGATGAGGGAAGGGCATGTATGTGGGCAGGAGAGTGAAGAGATGTGGAGTATATGTGTGAGGAAATGAGGTGGGTTTCTGAGGGATATAGGGAGGGTATATAGGGGTGTGGATGACATGTAAGGGTATATAGGAGGGAGATATATGGGGAGGGTGCGTGGTGGGGGGGGGAATGTAGGTGGTGTAAAGATGTTTACAGTGCTGAAGACAGAGTATACCATAGATTGTTACAGTGATGAGGGGAGACGGGGAGGGTGTGTGAAGAGACAGAGAGAGTGTGTGTGTGTGTACGGGAAGACGGGGGAAGGTGGTGTGCGTGTGTGTACCTATTTGTGCCTGCAGGATCAAGCTCTAGCTCTTTGACCCCGTTTTTTCTAACCCATCTATATTCCTGTATTGTGTCCACTACATATGTTTCTCGCTAACAAATACACACATACACACACACACACACACACACACACACACACACACACACACACACACACACACACACACACACATCCTCAGGAAGCAGACCGTAGCAGTTGTGTAACTTTAAGGTACCTATTTACATCAGGGTGAAAGAAACTCGGCCCACTTGTTTCTGCCTCGGCCGGAAATCGAACCCGGGCCCTTAGAATCGAACCCCTACCCAAAATTCCGAACAACTGACAATATAGTGCTTACGGTTCCCAGGATGAACAACACCTCAAGTCACTATAGGACAATACGGTACCCAGGAAGGACGACACCATCACTCTGGACCTTATGCTAATAAGCCTCATTACCGCACAACATAACACTCTCCCACATATTAAAAGTAAATCTCTCCCCCACATACTAACACTCCTCCCACTTACATAACAACATTCCCCCCACTTACATATATTATAATTTTTCCCTATCTCCTGAGTTCGTACCGAGAATCTCCCACTGTGACGATCTGGCTCCCAGCCTCCCTCCAGCCCATCTCCTAACAACGCCACGGACCGAGTCAGATGGTCCGTGACCACCCGCTCAAATCCCCATGGACAAGGACGTCCGGACACACAAGGGTTTCCGAGGCCTCCTGAGCTTGGGCCGCCCTGGTCACCAGGTGAGAAACGTCCCCATGTTGACGCTTTGACCACAATGAGAGACATTGACCCTTCACGTCTCTTGTATCTTGACAGATACCCCGTGAGTCCTCAGAAAGCGTGCAAATCGCATGCTTATCTGCCACATATATAGGGCTTCTAAATGTGACGCCGATGTCAGCATATATGACGCCGACGTCAGCATATATGACGACGACGTCAGCATATATGATGCCGACGTCAGCATATATGACGACGATGTCGGCATATATGACGCCGACGTCAGCATATATGACGCCGACGTCAGCATATATGACGACGATGTCAGCATATATGACGCCGACGTCAGCATATATGACGCCGACGTCAGCATATATGACGCCGACGTCAGCATATATGACGCCGATGTCAGCATATATGACGCCGACATCAGCATATGTGACGCTAACGTCAGCATATACGACGACGACGTCAGCATATACGACGACGACGTCAGCATATACGACGACGACGTCAGCATATACGACGACGTCAGCATATACGACGACGACGTCAGCATACTCTCGTCAGTACATCTCTCTCCTTCTGGGATGAGCCAGATCTGTCCCTTGACTTCGTCAGAACACCTGACCACAGCATCCCTCTCCTGGGTGTACCTGAGTCTTCTCTGTCCTCATATATAAGGAGAAAATGAGGGCGATTCCAAGTAAAAAAAAAAACATGAATAAGGGTTCCTAATTCCGTCCACACTAGGATCTATCGGTCTGGGAGATCGCTGATTGAATGTATCGAGTGGCGGAGGAAGGGGTTATTACTAGAGGCGTATGCAAAACAGAGCTTCTGGTGGCCCCGAGGGAAGGTAAGCACGCCTCTACACACGGCCGATGCTGCTGCTCCGTCTCACATCAGCCTCTCACGCCGTCTTTAGCGGAGAGAAGTACGGTATGCAGGTACGCTGTCTTGGGTAATGTTGTGTGTGTGTGTGTGTGTACTCACGTATTTGTACTCACCTAATTGTGCTCGCGGGGGTTGAGCTTTGGCTCTTTGGTCCCGCCTCTTAACTGTCAATCAACTGGTGTACAGATTCCTGAGCCTACTGGGCTCTATCATATCTACACTTGAAACTGTGTATGGAGTCAGCCTCCACCACATCACTTCCTAGTGCATTCCATTTACTAACTACTCTGACACTGAAAAAGTTCTTTCTAATGTCTCTGTGGCTCATTTGGGTACTCGGCTTCCACCTGTGTCCCCTTGTGAGTGTGCCACCCGTGTTAAATAATCCATCCTTGTCCACCCCTGTCAATTCCCCTGAGGATTTTGTATGTGGTGATCATGTCTCCCCTAGCTCTTCTGTCTTCCATCGACGTGAGGTGCAGTTCACGTAGTCTGTCCTCTTAACTCATGCGTCTTATTTCTGGTACTAGCCTAGTGGCACATCTCTGAACTTTTTCCAGCTTCGTCTTGTGCTTGACTGGATACGGGCACCATGCTGGGGCTGCATACTCCAGGATTGGTTTTACATATGTGGTATACAAGGTTCTGAAGGATTCCTTACACAGGTTTCTGAAAGCAGTTCTGATGTTAGTCAGCCTTGCATAGGCCGCTGATGTTATTCTTTTGACGTGAGCTTCAGGAGACATGTTTGGCGTGATATCAACTCCGAGATCTTTCTCTCTCTGTCCGTTTCGTGAAGGACTTCATATCCCATTCGGTATCCTGTGTCTGGGTTCCTAGTTCCTCCCCCTTGTTTCATTACCTTGCATTTACTTGGGTTGAACTTTAGTAGGCATTTGTCGGACCATTCCTTCAGTTTGTCTAGGTCTTCTTGTAGCCTCATACTATATTCCTCTGTCCTGATCCTCCTCATAATTTTTGCATCATCAGCAAACATCAAGAGGAACGAATCAATTCTTTCTGGGAGATCATTTACGTATCTCAGAAACAGTATAAGTCCATGGACTGATCCATGTGGGACTCCATTGGTGACTCCCTGCCACTTCCAGACCTCACCCCTCACGGTGACTGTGTGTGTGTATCTGTAGGTTCGTGTGTGTGTGTATATATTCTGTTAATTGTTCCTACAGGAGCCACAGCTATGTTGACCTTTTCAGCATCGGTCGTCAAATGCAACTGTTCCAACCCATGATATATCTACATCATATAAGTCCATGTATATAAGTCTTGACATTTTAAGTTCATGTATATAAGTCCTGACATTTTAAGTCCTTGTAATATATTAATATTAACTACCATCTTATCTAAATTATTTCCTTTGCTCACTATTCTTAGGATTCTGGTCTTTAGCTTCTATGTATTATTATCATGGAAACTGAATTATTATCATTATCTTATCCCTATATTAGGTATATTTACTTTTTGGTCCCTAGCTACTGTGTCAAACCTCCTTAGGATGTTATATATCGTGCTCATGTCCTCTATTTCCCCTCCAATTTTTTAACTTTGTCAGTACTAGCTAGCTACCTCAGTTCCATCTCGTAGTTTAATCACCTAAGATTTGAAAGCATCAGATGCTGAATATTCACGCACATTCAGGCAAACACAGGCGATGGAGAACTGCAGAAGCCTTATTCACCCATACACCTTACTTCACCTCACTCATCTTGGATACATATACTCACTTGCTCAAGGTAATGTGTTCTACGGGCTCACCATAGCCCGTGCTACATGGACATTTCGTTCTGAGTAATTTAATCTAAAACAACAACAACAGGTAATGTGTACAAGTTACAGCCCCGCTTCTGTGTCAGGTAAGTCCACTACGGGCTCACCATAGCCCGTGCTACTTGGAACTTTTTGTTCCCAGTAGCTGAATCTTAAGCAACAACAACAGGTAATGTGTATCCATTTTATGCGTCTCTGTATTTGAAAATGTTGACAGAATCAACGAAACGCTTCTCTTAGCATCACACCATATCTTATAAGAGAGCATGTGTTTTTTTGTCAGCCTGTTTAAAGTTAGAGGCCAGACATTTGGGGCTAGCCTCACCCAAATTGGCAGTGGGAGCATTCTAAGGAACGGGATTAACATAGGCTGGGCGGGGTCGTCAGAATTCAAATGGGAGCAGAGTAACAAGGGGGCTATATTCAAGCCCCCATGGCGAGTTTTGACACTACCCGCCGGCTACACAGCTAAATTATTTTCAAAACAAACATTTCATAATTTGCCCGTACTCACATAAAATAGACGATTCTCCCACAGCTTCATAAGTTTCTCAAGACAAGCTTCTTCTTAGAGTTAAACCACAACTATTCTATTTTTTTAGTTTTTCACACTGCTAAGCTCCTCTCACCAGCGTCCACTAACACACTAGATAAATATATTTTTATAAGAGAGAGAGAGAGAGAGAGAGAGATAGAGGAGAGAGAGAGAGATGAGAGAGAGAGAGAGAGCGAGAGAGAGAGAGAGGAGAGAGAGAGAGGAGAGAGAGAGAGAGAGAGAGAGAGAGAGAGAGAGAGAGAGAGAGAGAGAGAGAGAGAGAGAGCAAGGATGAGAGAAAGAGAGAGGAGAGGAGAGAGAGAGAGAGTGAGATCAGAGAGAGGATGAGGATGATGGATGCTCCCTCATCTGAGCAGATGGTTATGAGTGGCGAGGCAGTCAGTCTCCGGACACCAGAAGTGTATACTATAGCAGCTCCTTCCATATATACCAAAACACTGCATGAAGGGCCTCTAATTATAACCTCTTGTCCTAAACCACGAAGGACGCTCCTCTCTGCAGAAACACAAGTGCCCCATTAAGGCTAATTGACTTTTCTTCAGGTGTGAACTATGTCGATGATATACCACCAGAATATGCAAATTATTGGCAGAAATAATCGAAAAACATACGATGGTTACCTGGCGTGGAGTATGAATAAAACAAGGAGAGAGAGAGAGAGAGAGAGAGAGAGAGAGAGAGAGAGAGAGAGAGAGAGAGAGAGAGAGAGAGAGAGAGACAGAGAGAGAGAGAGAAGAATGATAGACAGGATAGTTGGGAAAACAGAGTAATAGACACAAGGATGGAAGCATTTTTTACAAGTACCTGTAATTTTGTTTTTGGACTTAAAAGTATGTAAAGTAGGTGGGGTGGAGGGATCATAGTACAGGTCGCTCGACCTGGCTTCAAAAAGGAAGCCAACTTACGCCATACGCACAGAGGCAAGCTGCCAATTTGCATAATGTAAGCATAAATTAGTCAGTAAAATAGTATGATCATCATTCCTGTGGCTGTAGATCCTGGACCTTTTTTTTTTTTTTTGTTCTTGCTACTTAACTGTTGTTTTTGTCTTTTTCTTCTGCGGGTTGATGTTTAATTTGTTGTTGTTGTTGATGGTTTGGTTGTTACTGTTTGTGATTGTTTTTGCTGCTGTTGTTGCTCATGGTAATAATAATAGTGTCTTTGTTGTTGAAAATGTTTTTTTGTCGATACTGGAGAAGGGAGGCTAAAGGTGTGAATTTTTTTTTTTTTTTTTGCTAATTTCAAATGATCTACAGTGATTTATTGCACCACAACACACTCCAACACATCACAACACACTCCAACACATCACAGCACACCCCAACACATCACAACACACTCCAACACATCACAGCACACCCCAACACATCACAACACACCCCAACACATCACAACACCCCGCCACATCTCAAACCCCAACACATCACAACACACTCCAACTCATCACAACACACTCAACACACCCCCAACACATCACAACACACCCCAGAACACTCCCAACACATCACAACACACCCCAACACATCACAACACACCCCAACACATCACAACACACTCCAATACATCACAAGACACCCCAGCATACCCCAACACATCACAACACACCCCAACACATCACAACACTCCCCAACACACCCCCAATACATCACAACACACCCCAAACACATCACAACACACCCCAACACATCACAACATATCACAACTCATCATAACACATTACAACTCACCCAACACATCACAACACACCCCAACACATCACAACACACTCCAACACATCACAACACACCCCAACACATCACAACACACCCCAGCACACCTATAACACATCACAACACACCCCAACATATCAGAACACACCCCAACACACCCCCAACACACCCCAACACATCCCA